GGGGACCCGTGTCCTTGGAGGTGCTCCGGCCATACCTGGGACTTCCCGCAGCCGGCGTTGCCGACGACGAAGCCCGAGTTTCTCACTTGCAGCAGCTCCTCCAGCTGCACCACCTTCAGCACGAAGCTCTCCTCTGCCTGCAGCTTCAGCTCCAGCATGGACTGCTTAATGATCTGGAAGGGAGAGCAGGCGCTGACCGTGGGCAGCCGCCACGGCCATGGCAGGACTCCAGAGGTGAGCCAGCCACCCCAGAAGTGCCTAGGGGACCTTCAGCCTCTGGACGCTGCCAGGGCTGGGATGTTGCTGGTGCTGGTGCCACCCCTGGGCTCGCACCTTCTCAAAGTTGAGGTCCCTCTTCCTGGGGACGTCCAGGGCTGGGAAGAGATCTCCGATCAACCCCATGAAGACGGGCAAGTCATCTGTCACGATCTTGGGGATGTTGAAGTCTCGTAAAGCTCTCATCAGAACTTGGTCCTCGGCGCGGCCAGGGTCCCCTCTCTTCAAGGAGCCAGCAACCACCAGCACGGACTTGATAGCCCGCAGACCCCAGTCATAGTGATCCTGCCAAGAGGCAGCAAAGTATTACAGCTCCACTCCGGTGAGGGGGACCCGCGTCAAACACCACCACGGAGCAGCACCCTGCCCATCGCCCCGCAGCTGGGCTGCCCACGCAGTGCCCAGCGGCCTGGACTTAAACTGAGCTCATGCTCAAGACAAGCCCCGGTCGGTCACGAGGTGAAGGGCGGGCGGGCTTGCTTCCCCCAAGCACGTTCTTGTTGGAAATCCCTTCTGCCAAGATGAATAATGTCTGGATGTTCTGATCTTAACAGACTGCATTCAATTCGAATCTATTTTTGGACTTCTTGATTACTTCCAGAAGGCAGAAACGTGCCATGTGATGCACCAGCGTGGCGGTGGCATTTGTCCAGCCATAGGCCTGAGCTATGTGGGACGTCAGCCCGCACCTCGCCACCAGCAATCCTGCTACAGACCCAGTCCATCGGGTCTGAAATTCGGAGGAATCCTGTCACCCCACAGAACCCTGCAGTGTTGCCACATTACCTGTTTGGACAGCAGCTCTTTGCAGAGTGTGTACAAAGTAATGAACTTTCTTGCCAGAAGCTTGGCGTCGATAAAGCCTTCAGCAACAAGCATGATCTCGCAGATCAGCTCGAAGTCGGGGACCACCATGGCGCAGGGCCTGGAGGAGAGCAGCAGCAGGTCAGCTGGGCTGTGCACAGACACCCACACGTCCCGCAGCCAGCAAGGCTCTGCACCTGATATAAATCATCCCCACTGCTGGTGGGACAGCGATGTACGCCGGCTGGGGGCTCTGGAGGACTCGTGTCCAGCCCCCCGCGCCAGGCAGGGCTCAGGTCGCACTGAGTTCCTCCAAGGACACAGAGCCCACAGCATCTTTGGGCCACCCCTTCCAGGACTTGGCCATCTTTTTTTCTCATTCTGGGTTGGTTTTTTCACTGCAAGTGGCCATTAGACACCCGAGCACCCTCTTCCCCCGGCCGTCCCACTCTCCCAGCCTCCAGCACCCCCGGGGCTTTGAGCAGAGCTGTCCTGGGGTACCGGGGGCCACCAGAACCCACGGACGCCCCTGTCTGCGCCAGCAAAGGCTCCATTCTCGCTGTGGCTGT